CCATCACCCACACGTTACTAGCAACTAAAGGGTGGGAATCAAGTATTAAGATAACCATAAACCCTCCCCGTAACTTTCGCCCTTTCCGCCCGTAACGCGTCCCATTCATTTTATTCCAGCCTTATTTTTTTTATTATGAGAGCAGCGGCGGAAGACTGAGAAGAAAAGAAAAATACATTTCACAAAAGCCCCGACCCATCTCCTTGCTCTCGTCTCTCTTCGCAAAACGGAAGCGGTAGCCGCCGTCGCCGTCTTCATCGCTGACGAGTAGGAGCAGTGCACATCACCACCGCCAGACGACCAGCAGCAAGGTTAGCGACAGATAAAACGGTAGAAGCTCGCCCGGTTCACGCCGTGCCACACTCCACCTCCCCGGATCGTTGCCTTGTCGTTCTCGGATTTACTCCACGTCAAGAAAAGGAGGGGAAAATGAGAGAATAGAAAGAGAGGGAAAGGAATGATTCTGGGCGTTGGTTTTTGCTCGGAAGAAGATGAGAAACCATTCTATGGAGTCGGAATCCAAGTTGGAGGTCGTTAGAGGGTTCGTCGGAGCTTCGCCGGAACGTCGCCGGGGTGTCGCCGGATTCTGGAAAAATAAACTTCGACGAAACTTCAAAAGATGAATATGGTTGCGTAGAGGGCGATCTCAGGAGCGTCACGGTGTCGACGAAATCGAATTCGGACGTCGGATGAGGGAGAACCGAGTCTCCCAAGTTTGAGGAAGATTGTGTCAACGATCAGGTACCATTCTTGGAAATTCGAAAAAGTAGGAGGATTAAATCTGTAATTTTCCAGAGAGGTCGGGTCAACTGTGTTGACTGGAAAATTTCAGTTTCGGTACTTGGTACTTCTAAACTGACAGAATATTTATTTTGGCCATAACTCGATCAATTGACGTCCGATCGAGGAACCGTCTGCGCCTATGGAATCGTGGAGACGAGTAGAATTTAATGGGAGCGATACATGGAATTTTTAGAGCAGAATCAGCGTCGGGTTCGACAGTATGAGGTGAGTGTAAAGGGGGTAAATTCTACGCCTTACGTATTTTCAAGTATTTGCCTTGCGTGTTTAAGAAGTTGTTTTATGTGAAATTGTATGCTTGCTTATGTTTATGGGTGATGAAGTGTGTTCTTTTGATTCATAGTTTGAAGGATATGTTTATGAGCTTTGAGTATTTAATTAAAGATTTTACGTTTCGTTTGACGATTAAGTTAAAGTGATAAGAGCAAGAGAAAGTCACGAGTAAGAATAAGTTAACCTCGCTTAGCTAGCCACTAGCTAGAAGGATCCCTACCGGACGGTGATAAGTTCCGCGGTAGTTGATCACTACCGGATGGTGATACGTTCCGCGGTAGTTGGTCAGGCGTGGAGCCGGACGGTGATAAGTTCCGCGGTATCCATTGCCTAGGTTTAGGTGTGCTACCGGATGGTGATACGTTCCGCGGTAGTCACGCCGTAGTTTGACACCGGATGGTGATTCGTTCCGCGGTGGTCAAACCCATTTGAGGGGCACCACATTGTGAGGGTAGTCATGTTTAAGAAAGTAAGAAAGTAAGTAAAGCTAGTAGTGGCGCCAGCTAAGTCGAGGTAGGGGCCCCAATAAGATAAAGGATGAAATAACACAGTTTTAAGAGTTAAAGTTTAAGGGAGGAAGTACAAACAACCTCCATAAGCTTAAGTCAATGTTTTAAGCAAAGTGCTCAAGTATTAAAAGTAATAAACGTAAGGGCGTAGACTGACCCCTTCTCACTCACCAGTTTGAAGAGTACTAAGAGGAGTTAGAGAGCCGCGAGCTTGAGAGGAGCGAGGCAAGGCGAGTAGCCGCACCAGCATTGACGAGATGTCCCGGAATTAAGCAAGGAGTTATAGTTTGTTTAGTCAGTTGTGTTTATGATTATGAGTATAACTGGAGGTTCAAAGGTTGAGGTTTAATGACTATGCATTTGAGTTTTGCCCACGTGTTTAGGGCATTGCATTTGACGTTTTTCTTGGGAATGTTTAAGTTTTTAAGCTTTGTTTTTAACCGGCTCCGGAGCCATGATTATTTCGGTTGTTTAAAAGGATCGGGGTGTTTCACCTACGTTGATATGTAAAAAAATACAAGTTCCAAGAGCCCATATATTCCTCAGAAGTGGAAATTGAAGAATCCAAAGGCAAAGAAAGGAGTGAACATGGTAACAAGAATATTGATTATGTATGTTACCATTGTAATGGAAAAATGTGTTTGTCTCGTACCCGTTTTATGCAAAAGACCTTATTCTACCAAGAATCAAAGGGAAAAGCTAATTCATATACGCTCATGCAATATCAATATTATGAAACATATTTTTTGTATTATAAGTTGGTATATTCTCAATTAAAGATGAAAATGATATTGCACTTTAGACATTTTCATTCCCAGAAGTGAATGAAACAATCTATTCCCCGAAGTGAATGGAGCTATAAGCATAATTATATATATGTTAAATGTATTGTTTGGATCTTTTCACCAACAATGAGAAAAGAGGAGAAAAAGGAGAATTATAAATAAGGATGACACAACAATTGCATTATCAAAGTCATAATAATATAATGCAGCAGTTGTACATTGGAATGTATAATGAAACACACATATAATTATTTTTATCAATGTTGAAGACATATATAAATTTTAAATCACCTAGTTACTGATGGTATTGTTCCAAATAAAGCTTATTTAATTTTCATAATTGTAGTATTATGTTTCTTATTTTCTTTTATGTTCTATTGTGTCGTTATTTTTTCATGCTTAATTTAATTTGATAAGTTCATCATTTTTGTCTTAAGTTTGAAATATTCTCATTTCTTATTTTAGTATGTTTTTGTAAAGTATGAGTGTTGAAAAAATTCCATATACACTATATGATAGAGTACATAAATAAGCAAAAGCTTCTGAAGAGCTTATGTTTGGTTACTTAAAGTAACTAAATTATGTACTCGTGATAACAATTTGTGATGATATTTTTATCACTATGGACATGTGCCTACTAATGACACACCAAGTCATAAGATCACGAAGGGAAAAATTTAATAACGAAGTATGTAAAAGCTCCAGAAGAGCTACTGTTTTATGTGATATTAGTACTATCAGTACACATAAAGTGTAAACCAGAAGTTTATAAGATTTGATAACTTGGTAATGTGGTTGGTCCGGTTAGAAAATCGCGGATAATGATGTGAAAACAAGTTCTTTGAGAATTCATGAGAACATCATATGAGAAGTTAAAGAACTCTTCAACTAAAAGAGTTATTATGTCATGCTTGTTCTCAAGGAGAATAGACCAATTGATCATCGCTTGTAAAAGAGTTGGCAAATCTCTTGAGATTTTATGGACGTGTATACAGAACAATACATCAGTCACGTGGATCATTTGTGAATTTTATGGGTTGCTGCATCAAATGGATGATCACATGTATTTTATCTAATCGCAACCCGATGTTTGGGAGATCGATTGCCTCAATATGGATACATTTTGATGGTTATCCAATCAAACATCACTTTGCTTATGAGAACAAGTTGAGCCTTCCGTTCTCTTGTCGTGATAGTATTGGTTCACATCTAACCAACAATTTATCATAAGTCCCCCCCCCCCCCCCTCTTTACAAATGGTTTTGGTAAAAAAACCTAACATTTCTCATATGAGAATATCATGATGTGCCGCATACATCCCAATTGCTCCACCACAGTATCTTAAGTTGATTATCGTTGGAAATTGAGAATTTGTGTTAGGTAAGAATCCCAAATTAAAAATTTGTTTGTGAAATTATTATTTTGATGAATCACTTTTCCAACATTAAGGGGGAGAGAAAAAATAGCTAGACTAAGAGATGAGTTCGAATGAGTTATCATTATCCAGTTTTGATGAATACCATTTGATCCTCATAATGGTTGATCGGAGACGAGCTATCTCTTACATATGGTGATATAACTATTTCATAGAGAAAAAAAAACAAACTATAATAGGCAAGTCCTAAATCTTTTTCGTTACACTTTGTGATCCACCGTATCTAAAGGCTTGTGTTTGTGAACTATTTCCAAAGGAAATGATCCTGACGATCATTTATGAAAAAAATATAAAGATCATGCATCAAATTGACAATCTAGAAGATTGTTTACTAACTCACTCCCGACAACAATTTTCTAAAAGTCGTTCATTAAATTTGGGTTCAACGACTCAAAGATTTGAAGTGATGTGGTCTTGAGGGGAAGCACATACGCACTGCACTCTTTTTCTCTTCACCATGGTTTTTTCCCACTGGGTTTTCCTGGTAAGGTTTTTAACGAGGCAGTATGAGATATCGTAATTCAATCTAGTGGTCATCCAAGGGGGAGTATTATGTAAAAATTGATATATGGATGACCAATGACCTACCACATTAGATGCCCACTTGGGAGTTACATGTAACCCCTATTCCGACATCGTTATCTCTCATTCATATGCATTGATATAAGGATGTAGTGGTTACCGAAGTGTGCCTATAAATAGAGCTCACTATTGTATCAAAAGTGAAGAATGAACAAGAAGAACTCTTCTCCTCTCTTTTCTCGTGTCTTTCCCTCTCTAATCTCCTCTTGTAGTTATTTATATTCCATTAGTTTCATAACATATTTATATTTTTAATAGATATAATAATAATGAGGTGGAAAAATTTACATATTTATTTTTAGTATTTTTAATTGCCACGTCAATAATTTAGCGGTCAACTATTTAAGTTGACTGCCACATCAGATAAAACTAGTGGAGTTGAACAGAGAGTGACCAAACTTGGAACACTTAATTAATTTTAGTGACCATGAATGGAATTAAATATTTTCAGTGACCAAACATGAACGTTTTTAGTAATGTCAGTGACCAACCTTGCAATTTACCCTAACATACTCCTTTATGGGAATTATTATTAGTACGATATTCGTATTGTAGTTGTCTTCCAAAAACTTACACAACAAAAAGTGAAAAAGGAGTTACAAGAGTATATAAGATCTATTTGTCACCTTGCACAGTGATAAGAACATCTTCCATAAACTTTCGCGGTTTACATAAAGCTTCCAGTGGCTCAAGTTTAGGCATGGTCAGTCCCGGTCCTTCAGTCATGTCAAGTAGTTCTTCACCGACCCTTTTCCATTCAAAGCATTGTATTAAAGTGCCTAACGCCACACTTACAGTACGGTTCGCAAGTGCGATGCCAGGACATGACCTTCTCCCCGCACCAAATGGCAGCAATTGATAAGCATTCGCCTCAGCTTCTGAATGTCTCTCGGGCCAGAATCTCGTGGGGTCTTTCCAAACTGTGGGATCCCTATGAACAGTGGCGGATGCAGGGGCCCCTGCATCCGCCACTGTTCATAGGGATCCCACAGTTTGGAAAGACCCCACGAGATTCTGGCCCGAGAGACATTCAGAAGCTGAGGTGAATGCAGGGGGTGGCACCCCGGGCCCCGGCCCAGCCCTCCCCTGGATTCGGAGTTAGTATAGTGTTTATGAATTTTTCGATTTTAGTTATTCGTCCTAGTGTTATTTTATAATAAGATTGGGTGTAACTAGAAAAATGATTCAGATTAACATATTCAAATCACTACTATAAATTTAGTCTAGAAATTCTAACTCCAAAGACTATTTTTCTAAAAAAACAATGAAATCTAAAAGTCTAAAACGTAAAAGACTATAAGAAATATGAGGTTTATTCCTTTGAAAATTTACTTAAGCAGTTAGTGGATATAGGTATGGACACACAATGCACGATTGATTTGTCTAGAGTTGACGCTGCTCTTACCAACAACTACTACAAGGATAACCTTTTCAACAATGAAACATATGAAAACTGATTTCGCAACAAAATGAACGATGAATTTCTAGTCGTTTGCTAAAGTATTTTATTTTAAAAAAATGTATACTATTGGTATGGATGTGAACTCCATTATTGATGCATTCGCTAAATTAAAATACCGTCGAGTACAATTTATATTGTAAAAAAAAACTACAATGTTTTTTTACGGTTCTAATTTTTTAATGAAATGCGGCCCAGTGCTCTTCTGTGTTCTGGATCCGTCGCTGCCTATGAATAGCCCATGTGTTGACAAACAACATTGTCTCCTTTGAAACGAAATAACCTCCAACGGTACAATCCTCTGAAGATTGGTGTGGTATCAAAAGCGGCCCAACCGGATATAGACGGAATGTCTCGCTAATGATGCATTGGAGGTAGGGAAGATCAATGCAGTCAGATTCTTGTACCAGTCGATTGTTGCCAACTGCATTGTCGATCTCAGCTCTGGCCTTGTCGAGAATCTCTGGATGATTGAGTAAGAGTGACATGCCCCATTCTATTGTCGCCGCTGTAGTATCTGTACCTGCAAGTATCAATGACTATCCAAACAAATAAGAAAGGAAATATTTAATTGCCGTCCATCCACAAATCTGATAAAAGAAATGGAAACGGACAAGTGTGGGTGGAGACTGAAAAGAAAGTGTTTGTTCATGATTTGTTGTTTTATCGCATTGTAGTGCATGACACGGCACCATCCCCTGAATAATTGAGGCATTTGTTTATATAATAAATGCAAAGATTCTTCTGCACCCTGGAAATAAACTATGTACGCAAATAATTGATAAATTACGTAAGAATATGAATTCATCATGAATATAAGACAGTTATTTTATCTCCGGATAAAAATATTTTCCATAATGAATTGCACCAACATCATCATCAATAATACAAGAAACATTTTAGCCAAATTCATTTTATATAAGAAATTAAAAAAAATATGTCACTTACCATAACCTGACCTTTGATGATATCATCGGAGTAGTTCTCAGTTTCGGATTCCTGCAAAGTCAACATGGTATCGATCATCATCTTTCTGCTCAGACTACCAACACCATCCTCTTGCTCCTCCTCTTCCCTCTGCAGTCTGCTGCTCCGGTGATCGTCAATCAAACCCTGAAAGAACGCGTCCATCTTCTTCTCCAGTCCATTGAAATCGACCCACTTCAACAGAGGCAAGAAATCAACAGGTTTGGACGTGCCACTCAGCTCGAACGCCTCCATTATCAGCTCCTTAAACTCCTCCCCTTCTTCTTTTTCTTCTTCATCACGACCCTCTTTCTCTTCCGACGTGCCAAAGTACCGCTTCCCGGTGACCATCCTCATCACCATGTTCATCGACAGGCCCACCAGCCTCAACTTCATCTCCACCTTACCAAAACCTGACCCGGCGGACACGTCAGCAACCAGGCCGTTGACCAAGCGCGTGACCTCGTCGGTACGGACGTGGAGAAAGGAGTTGAGGCGTGGGGCGGAGAGGAGCTCCACGGCGGACAGGCGGCGAAGGTTGCGCCAGTGCGGGCCGTAAGGCGCCGCCCCGATGGAGGTGTAGTTGTAGGCGAGGATCTTCCAGCCGAGGATGCTGTGGGGGCGGTTGGCGAAGACGACATCGTATTGTTTGAGGCATTCCTCGGCGAGAGATGGGGAGGAGACTACGACGACGTTTCGGGCCCCCAAGGTGAGGGAGAAGATGGGGCCGTATTTTTTGTTGAATGGGTTTGTAGGGTTCTGTGGAGTGGTAGCTTTAGGAAGTTGAGAGCCGCCATACTTCCTTCCATTTGGATGCGTTGGTGGATACGAATTATGTGAGGCTTCCTAGCTTAGGATATATATGCTGCGACTTTTTAAATTCAATCTGCCGTAGCCAGCTACCATGGTATAGCCAAATTTCGAGTTAATTGAGGTTCAAAAAAATCATTCCGTGCATTTAATGGAGTTTGAGTTTATAGGGGTCGTTGCGTATAACTAATATTGGTGAGAGTATGGGGTTTAAATTTGAAAGATTAGGTAAAACTTACGTGTCTAATGGATTTTTTGTCAGGTGGGGATCAAGTTGATAGGGGTAAGTTAGCTGGCGTCCTAAGTAATACTAAAGTACTCTATGCATTTGAGAGGGTCCTTACGTATAACTAACATTATTGGGAGTATTATGTCCAAAATTTGAAGGATTGGCTCAAACTTATGTATTTAATGGAATTTTTGTCCAATGTTTTTTGCCAAGTGCATGGGGTCCTTGCAGGATCCCTCTCCTCAACACTTTCTTCCGCCACTGTTTGTACCGGATTGCATTGGACCAAATCAATGCTTGAACCGGACTATACCAAACTTAATATAATGTGGTGCGGTTGTGAGTCTCGTGAATTTTATAAATACGGAAAGAGAATGGATCGAATGGACATTTGGATCAGACCTAACGAACCAAATGCACTGTTGGTCTGGGCTTTTATCCTAAGATGTCTTTCATTATTGGACTACAATTATCATGAGTTTTGGGTCAATCGGGTGGATTGTGGTCAATGACTATTATTCAAATTTGATTGTAGTTTGGGTTACTCGGGTCAGATTCTACTTTTACACCTCTAGTTACAAATTCTAATTTATGGGTTAGAACATCATAGATAGATATGAGTGGGTTGTTGACTCGCCAATACCGTCATACTAGAAAGTTTTCAAGTGTAACCACAAACTAATTCTTAGTTTATCGGGTTTAGCTTTACTTGTCAACCCGGGTCCTAGATGTGATGACTACTCAGTGAAGTTCTCGTTATTCAGCAGTTTGAACGTAATGAAGTTGTATTTAATCTAAGCAAATACAAAACAATAAAGTTGTGATTCAAGTTCGAGAGAGGTCACCTAGATATGGTTTCCCCTAGATTGTAGTTAAGCCGAATTGTAATTCACCAAGTTCGAATATAATGATAGTTATACTGCGGACGGTTCTTATTCAGTCTGAAGTCTCGACTAAAGGTCTTCAGAGCCTCCCAGTCTGAATACCCAGTGGGCGACTAACCTCCACCGGAATAAACGAACTGAGGTCCTAACATGCAAAACCTCCTTACCGGATCAAATCCAGTACAGAGCAGTGAACTGACTTCTCGACTAAAGTAGTCAATTCACCACCTTTAATCAAGGGTGTTCTATCAACCTATGCAGATATTCTCTTTCTAGGTCATAGCAGAAACTACAAGAATGTGATCATGATCAAGACTCATGCACTTATGAAATCATGCCTCAACTGAATATAATCAGTATCAAAATATCATGTACTTGGGTTCATACTAGGGCTGGCTATTTGACCCGATTTTATTGGTTTTACCCGAAACCGAACCGAGACCGGACCGGGACCGTATAGTAAACAATCCAATCAAATCTTCGTGCTTAGATTTGAGGTAAAAAATCGTTTGGGACCGGATAAAAAAAAGGATAAACACCGGATAAGAGAGCTCAACACCCAAAACTTAAGAGTAATTAGCATAAACGGTCACAAACCTTTGCACTTAGTACAAAACTTAACCAACTCCTCACCCTTTTAGGCCTTAGGCCACACAAATCCCCACAAACTCAATATAAAATCAAGACCGAATTGGGACCGGACTGGATCAAAACCGGATTGTATCCAATCCAATCTTTTGTCCTTATATTTTTCGAAAAGACTGGACTGGACCTGATCAATTTGGGCCAATTTAACCGGACCGTATAGCCACCCCTAGTTCATACAATCAAACATAAAATACAACTCTAGGATTCTTCATACCCAGGTGAGAGAGAGAGATATATATAGAGAGAGAGAGAGAGAGAGAGAGAGAGAGGGAGGGAGAGAGAGAGAGGAAATAAGCTTCAGATGCAGAAATCATCATGTAGAGGATGGAATTCAGCTTCTAGTTGTCAATCGGTGCTTGTCCAGACTTCAATCAAGCTCCAATGGTCCCAAAACTCATTCTAGGTCACCTTGGAGGATGGGTTCATCACTTTCTCTCTCTAACTCTCTATTTTTTGCTCTAAACTAGGATATGAGACCAAAACCCGTGTTAAGCTTGTAACAGCCCGAGCTGGTGAAACCCGGTTTAAGTACCCGATCGGGTATTTGAGGATCTGACCGGGTATTTATGAAACGACGCGCAACGACTTCTTCACAAAGAGGAAAATACCCAACCTCAAGTAAAAATACACAATTGGGTATTTATGGTTCACGACCGGTGGGCCTCCTGGTCCTTCATGGGGAAATACCCGACATCTGCTGCCTATACCCGGTCGGATATTTAGGTGACCTGACCGAGTATTTACCCCTTCTAGCTCCACTTTTTGCCAACTCTCCGTTTTTTACCCGAAACTCGCTTCCATACCTCCAATTTCGCTCAAAGTCCTGAAATATGACATAAAAGCAAAATCTAGCGTGAAATCGGTTTAAAGCACGAGAATCGACTCCCAAACGGTCAAGAATAGTGGACAAAACATGTAAAAATATCGGGTTATCAGTTGGTTTCATGATTTAATTATTTAAATTATACTCATTGGATATAATTGTAATTAATTTAAAATTTTCTATTTGTGTTGGTAACAATTAATTTTATCAACCATGAAACTTATTTTTCTCTCATAAGATGATAGTTATTTTTTTTATATAGGACTATATCCAAGTGGCGTACTACATGTGTTTTATCATAAACGAGAAATCTATAACTTAATTCATAACAAAATCACTTTGAGGTACAATTGTTTGAGTGTGGCAAAAGGTAACATCATATCGGTTAAAGAAAGCTGTAAGTTGAGTTCCTTAAAAACTTTTGCCCTAAACATCAAGCATACGAAGCTATAGCATCATTAGATTACCTACTATTAATAATATTTGTAACAAAAGAGTAATCTTTTGCCGCAAATTCTGATTTAGTGGCTAACCATGACGCAGTGATGGTCTATTGCCACGAATTAAAACTTTTGAGGCTAAAAAATTATAAGTAGCTTGAAATTCAAGTCGTGGCAAGTAATTTAGGAGATGAAAGTCTAATTATTGCTACACTATTCATGCTTCAAAACTAAAAACCAAGACTAGCTATCTAGAATAACTTTTGTAGCACAATAGTCAAATGAAATTGTAATTAGCTATCAGGTGAAATATTTTGTGGCTATATTGGTACACTAGCTACAATTATAAAAATTGTGGCTAACATTTTCACTACAAGAAAAATATGATTTAGCGACAGATAGTTGCCGCACTTTATTTATGTGTCGCTAAATTTTAATATAAGGTGACAATTAGCTCATGTGCCGCTATATGTTATATTAATTGTCACTAATTAATTTATTTCCCGTAGATCTCTCTTCTTCCCTAATCATTCCATTTGCCCTAGATCTCTCTATAGTTGCTTTCTCCAAATTTCGACGCCAAGTCTTTCCCTAATCGGATATTTTTCTTCTCAGCAGTACCATTAAGAAGAAGAAAGGATTGACCTGGTTTTTGGATTCTGGTTTCACAGGTCTAACCTAGAGAACCGGTCCCTAAATCGCTGCTTGAAGAAGCACGCTTCGACACCGTTTCTTTCTCCACGGTGTCGTTCCACTTACCAACATACACACATCACTTAGCCGATGTTACTTAGACAGTTGTACAGCTTCCATAGGTTCATTTTGATTGTTAGTTTACTTTTACTTTTTATTAGCCGTTGGTAGTTAATTACAGTTGATAGGGTTTCCTCTTTGCAGCCTATATAAGCTGCTTGTAAATGTTTTCTGAATCATCAATGAAACTACAAGTTTCTCCAAACCCTATTCTTATGGTATCAGAGCTCTGAAGCTCCTTCTCTCTTAGGGTTTCATTATGTCCACTTCACCTGGACAAATGTCTACTGTGGTTTCTTCTAACACAGCAGACTAGTTGGTTCCTCCGTCCATTGTGCCGATCAAGTTCAATGGGAGGAACTATAATCTTTGGAGTAGATATGTGAGAATCGCCCTCAAGACAAGGAAGAGGCTTGGCTATATTGATGGAACTAAGACTCAACCAGAAGTAACAGATCCAGCCTTTGAAGAATGGGATGCAAACAACACTCAGGTACTAGGCTGACTTCTGAACTCTCTTGATGAATCTACTGTTGAGAGTGTTCCTATTACTGAAAATGCTCATGAGATTTGGGAAGATCTGAAAATGAGATATGGCTAGGCAGATGCAGTTAGACTTGTAGATCTACAAACACAGATTTACTCTTGTAAGCAAGGAACTTCTAGTGTGAATGAGTTCTTTACTAGGTTGAAGACCTATTGGGAAGAATATGTTCATTATAGGACAGTTGTCTCTGCCCCTTGTCCTAATCCAAACTGTCCGGCTTCAGTAGCCCTAAAAACCCTAAGGGGATTCACCCGTGATGACTATGTTATGAGATTTATCACTGGTTTGATTGAAAACTATGAGGGGGTTCGTACAAACTTGCTGATGATGAAGCCTATGCCAAGCATAGGAGATGCTTTTAGTTATGTTTTACAACATGAAAGACAGCTTGATCCACAAGCAGTGGGATCTAAGAAAGAAGAAGGTATGGCTTAACTGTGGATGTTAATAGAGGCAGAGATACAAGGAAAGGTCAACCACAAACCTCAGGCCTGTTCTGCAGATATTGCAAGAAAGATAATCATATTAAGGAAGACTGCTGGAAACTTAAGGCTAAGAACAGGAAGATGATGGAGGCAGGACATAACTTTGCTGGTTCTGTAAGCACTCCTGGAAACAGTGCTGGTGGAGATACTTTCTCTTTCAGGGGGCAGTC